TCCGCCATGGTCGATGAGGCCAAGCTGGCGCGGGATGCGCACCAGCTCCAGACGCCCAGGCCCCCCGCGCCGCCATGCAGAGGACCGCACCTCGCGGGCCGTGCGCATGCGCCTGTCGAAATCCGGGGCGAGACCTGTGGCGACACACGTCGGCAGGCCCTGCATGCGAAAGGTGTAGGGCGCGCACTTCTGCATCCACTCGCCCTCGTCCTCGTAGTGGTTCGGGTCGCTGGGGTTTGACACCCAGCTGCGGGCGCGCCTTCCCCGGACGCGCTTGAAGCGGTCCAGGGCCCTGGTCTGCATGCGCTCGGCCCCCCTCGCCTCGGGGTCCATCTTCACCTCGGACTGGCCGCCTGGAAATCGGTTCCCTGAGCCTCCGCCGACGAAGAACCTCAATTGCGCGAAGTAGTCGCTAAGGTGCATCAGCTTCTTGCCCCTGAAGCTGGCCTTGGGGCCCTTGATGGGCCTCGGACGCGCCTGGTGGCCGAAGCTGTTGCACGGCGGGCCCCCTCGACCGCGGTAGAAACTGGCCTCCTCGGACCTAATTTTGCACGCCCACGCCAACTCGTTCTCCGCGCTCCCGCACACGGCCTGACACGCCTCAGTGAGGGCCTGCATGTCGCTGCCCCGGTCGATTCGACCTGCGCCCTCACGGGGCTGTGATCCCAATGCTTCTCTAGCATGGATCCGGAGGGCCTCACCTTGGGAAACGCCATCGGCCCCTTGACCCTGAACGACTGGCCCAAGTCGCCGTAGCAAGTGAGGCTGAGCTTGACCGCCATGCGGGGCCTGCACGGGTTGGCGCACCCCTTGGCCGTCATGTCGAGGCGCAAGCAGCCCGCGACACGGTCCAACAGTTCGGCGCTGACGATGAACCAGTCGAGCTCGGGCGGCTCCTTGGCCAGGGAGTGCCGGCAGGCACCCCCGCCCGTGTCGACTACGTGCCCCCTATCTTGCAGAGCCAGTTGCCCGCGCGCCGGTGGAACCTGTCGGGCTCGACGTGCCAGTCGCCAGCGAGGACCCGCGGCTTGCCCGTGCGCTTGAGGAGCACGCCTACCTCCTGCAGCACGTACTTGCTGTTCTCGCTCTCGCCACCGTTGCCCAGGTAGATCGAGCCCAACAGGAAGCCGCCAAGCACTACCCCGCTGACGTGCGTGACCGTGGCCCTGCCGTCGGCGACGCGGCAGCTGGACTTGCAGCCCTGGGCGCCTGGGCCGCGCATGCCGCGTGCTGTGCGCACGGCAACGCCAGTGCCGCCACCGACGGCGCGCTGCTGCGAAGCGCCCGCGGTGCCGACGCCAGGGGTCAGCACGGCGCCCCAGCCCACTTGCCTGCGCCGCTGCTCCTGCTCCTCGGCGCGGTAGCCGTTGAGGTGGTGCTCCTAGAAGCACGTCGCGTCGCCGATGTGGGCCTCGGCGACCTCCTGCTGCTGGGGGCCCTGCTGCGCGCCGAGGATGGTGGTGAAGGGGCCCCAGCCGCTGCCGTTGAGGCTGACGACCGTGAAGATGGGCCCGCTACCCCCGCCCCCCCCTTCTCCTGATTCCCGCGGACCGAAGGGTTTGGAGGAGCATCTGGGCGCGCTGCCTGCGCTTGGCGTCAGCCTGCGCCGCGGGGTCTGCGGCAGGGGAACCGCCGCCGCCCTCTCCGCCAGCGACGCCCTCCTCCGAGGCGTCTTCCTCGATGCTTTCCAGGATGTTGGAGATGTCGGCTTCGTCGATCTCTTGCTCTTCACCGCCGTCCCGTTCGATCGCGGCTCCTGCCGTTGCCACCCGCTCCGCCAGGCGGCGGAGCTCGGCGACCTGGCCCCCCCACTGCTCGGCGAAGCCAGGGGCGAGCATGCCAGAGGCCTGGTTGAGCGCCGCCAGGAACGCGGTCGCCCGCCCCCCCTCGCTGAGCGATGCACCAGGAGATGCGGGGGCGGCCCCTCCGCCGGGCGCGGCCTCGCGAGGGGGGCCGCCCCGTTCGCGGAGCTGCTTGGCCAGGAGGTTGTCGATGAGCGCCTGCAGCACCATCTCGGTGGTCTTGCTCTACTCGAACTTGCCCTCCAGCTCGAGCTTCTGGCTCTGGAGGTCTGTGATCTGCTTGGGGACGGCCGCGATATTGCCCCCCAGCGCCTCGGTGGTGCTCTGCTGGTTCTTCTGATTGCCATCCAGCTCGCTGAGCTGGACCGACGTGGGCTTGGCCTCGGCGGGCTCGTCTTCCGGCTGTTGCGCTACCTGACGCTTAATTAGCCTCCACGATCGCCTCCGCGCCTTCCACCCCGTCGAGCCGTTTGATATCGCTGCGTAGCTTCCCCAGGCGGCGGACACGGTCTGACTTCTCCGCAGACTGCGGGCCGCCGGCTGCCCCTGCTGCTCCGCCCCCGTCACCGCCCTGGCCTGGGGACTGACTGCTCTCCAGCCTCTTGACCTTCCTGCGCAGCTGGTTGAGCTCGTGGCGTTCTTTGGCGTCCAGTTGCGACATGCCACTCCACCATGAGCTTGACCCAGAACCGCTTTCCCACCAGTCATATCCACAGCTGCGACAGACGTGCCTGGAGCCCCAGTTCTTCTTGGCTCCGCACTTCGGGCAGTCCCAGACCTTCGGTGCGCCGCCGCCGCCGCTGCCTGGTTGCTGACCGCCCCGTCGTCCTCGACCGCTGCCTCCTCGGCCGCCGCCTCCACGCGCGCCGCCTCGATCACCACCTCCGAGTCCTGCCATTGGTCGAGCCAGCCGCGGCTGGGCCCCCAATCGGGCGGCAAGGACGGGGAGGAGGGAGGAGGAGGAGAGGAGGAGGAAGGAGGAAGGTGGGACGCGGGGCGCTGTCTCTTCCAAAAGAGGACCCAACACCACAGGATGGTTGGGAAAAACACTATGAACAAAATTGCAACGCCCGGATCCCAGGGGATGTAGGGGTCCCCCTCCGCCTTGCCTCCGTGCAGTCAAGATGCTGCGATGAGGAACCCCAACAATGCAACAAGGAATGAAGCCTTTTGTTGCCACCGGAGGAGCCTGGGTCCAAAAAGGAGGGCTAGAGAAACGACCACGGAGCGACCCGCGAAACAGCGAGCCCCTTCTGAACCCAGAGCGGTCTTTCTCTTAGCCTTTCCGCTGTCGCCTCCACTCCCAGGGTTACCAGCCTGGAGAATATCCCAATCCCTATGCTGGGCACCTCCTCATCACGATGCCAATCTTAGGGATTCCCTTATTTTTTGAGGGCGAATCCCTAAGATTGTCATCGCCTTTTGGCGTGTCGATCTTGGGGATAGGGATACGTTCGAGGCTGGTAACAGGGCTCGCTCCCACAGACGGCGCCGCCCGACGGCAGCCCCCTCTGCCCCGAAGGGCGGCGGCTCTGCACCTGCCGCCGCCGCCCCCGGCTGCGGCCGCACCTGCTCGTCCCCCATCACAGACCCCCGAGGTTGTGATGTTTCTTGCAGTGCCGACCCCCCCGAGGCGGGGGCGGCCAAGAGGGGGGGCGTCCGAGGGGGGGGGGGGGGGCGCGCAAATCGTGGCTGGCGGCATGTGCACGGCCAATGGGGGCCCATGGAAGTAGTGAAACAAAACAAAAAGAGGCGCCCTGAAATCGTCCCCAGACTATGTTTTACCAGCCTCGAACTTATCCCTATCCCTAAGATTGGCACTCCAAAAGGCGATGACAATCTTAGGGATTCGCCCTCAAAAATGAAGGGAATCCCTAAGATTGGCATCGTGATGAGGAGATGCCCCGCATGGGGATAGGGATATGTGCCAGGCTGGTCAATGCTTTGACCTTTTTCTAAGACTCCTCGTGCAGAGGGACAGGCCCGACGTAACCTTACCTGCACATCACTGCCACATGAAACTGATACTTTGGTAGTGGAAACAATTGATTTTCAAGATATTTGGTCTTTAGAAGCTCTGCGTGGCGACGCCCCCGTCGCCACGCGTGCCCTCTGCGTGCCTGCGGGGGCGCCGCCACGTAGAAGTACTGGAGATCGAGCATTTGAGGCGTCGCTACGCACGCCCTCTGCGTGGCTGCGACCATTTGTTGAAAGCCTAAAACCAATTAAATTCACCAATGAAGTACCTGAACATCACTGCCACATGAAGCTGATAGATCCTGAGGTCCCGAGACCCGAGGCCCAGCAAAGGGGCTCCGGAGAGGCCGCGAGCAGCGGCGCGCGCCTCCCGGCCGTGAAGCTCGGATGCCCGGCGCGGGGGGGGGCTGGGCTCGCCCCGCCTCCCGGCCGAGCTCTGCTCCTTCGCCCCCCCCCCCCCCCCCCATCCACTGCTTGTCCCTCCTCCTCCTGCTCCTGGCTCTTTCTGCCTCCTCCTCCTCCTCCACGCTCCATCCTCCTCCCTCCTCCTACATCTTCCTCCATCCTCCTCCATCCTCCTCCTCTCCTCCTCCTCCTCCTCCTCGTCCTCCTCCTCCTCCTCCCTCTTCATCCTCCTCCCTCTTCATCATCCTCCCTTTTCATCCTTCGCTGACATACTCGCGTCGTGACATAACATTGCACATTGGCTGTTATTGAGATGTCAAAGCCTCTGGGGTCCTCACTGGGCCTGGGGAATGCCTGAAAAAAGGCTCAGGATGAGGCGGCGGCTCCGGAAGGGGTCAATACTCTGGGGAGCCACGGTGGAAAGCCATCAAGAGGTCGGACGTCTGGGTCCTCTGACGCCACCAAACTGCGAACCCCACGGGGCTGCTCTTGCCCTCCCCGAACTGGGCATCGATGTCGCGTGCGTCGCGTGCCGAGATCCCAGAGGTCGGCACCAGCTATTGCTGGCGCGTGACCCCATACCGATGTATTATGGCTCCTCAGGCTCTCACCCCGCGAGGGAGAGAGAGAGAGAGAGAGCGAGAGAAACAAACAAACAAACCTGAACAACAAAAACAGAGAGGGAGATGTCGAGGGGCGAGGAAACATCACGTATATATATGTATGTATATATACAGATATCATATATGTGTGTATGTATGTCTGTATATGTATGGAGAGAGGAATAAAGAGACACACAAAGGAAACGCAGGTCTCCCGTCTGGTCCGCCGAGCTCGCCACCATACCTGCTTCGCCTAACCTGGCGGCGTTGGCGTGGGGGCGACGGGCGAAACAACGATGCTGGGTGAGCAACAGGGGAACAACTGACCATCAGTAGAGAACATATAAGCGACTCTTCTAATAAGCACCACGCGAATCAAACACGACAGCGCTGCACGCCCAGTGCCGTCTAGTGAACGCCAACTATGGGGTCAAGTGGCCGCTTTCGTTCCCTAACCAACCTCGACCTTGTCCTTATCCCTAGGATTGGCAAGTCGAAGGCGATGATAAACTTAGGGTGTGCCCTCAAAATCTGAGGGTATCAATAAGAGCGGCACATAGGGACATTAGGAGGCAACTCCTGGGAGGTCTTCGTTGGAACGACTAAGGGCGATAAAGCCTGATTAAGACGCCATTTCGCCAGATGAGGCCAAATTAAGCCCAGAATGAGCCCAGGATTAAGCCGGATTCAACTGGATAAAGCGGGATCAGCCCTTTATGGGGCTGAATCGCCCTGTGTCGGTCTTAGTCGCCGTTTTGCGATCCAACGAGGACCTACTAGGAGTTGCCTCCCAGTGTCCCTGGATGCTGCTAGGAGTTGCCTCCCAGTGTCCCTGGATGCTGGTCTCAAGGACGCCCTCAGTTTCTGCTGGCATATCCCTGAGGTTGTCATCGCCTTCATCTTGCCGATCTGCGGGGTGCACGGTTTCCCCCGGGGCCGTAGGCGACCCCAGGAGGAGGAGGAGAAGGAGGAGGAGGGGGAGGAGGAGAAGGAGGAGGAGGAGGAGGAGGAGGAGATGGAGGAGGAGGAGGAGGAGGAGGAGGAGGAGGAGGAGGAGGAGGAGGAGGAGAGATGGAGGGGAGGAGGAGGAGGAGGAGATGGAGGAGGAGAAGGAGGAGGAGGCGGCGGGGGAGGAGGAGGAGGAGGGGGCGGAGGACGGGTCGCCTGAGCCCGTCGGAGAAACCCTCCATCTCAGGGGTAGGAATGAGGTCGATAGCTGGCGGAAGGCATCCCGAGCAACGCCGCACACCACTCTCTGACCACAGCCGAGGGGCGGCCCCCCGAGCCGAACACGGCGCCCCCGCCCGCGAGAGAGAAAGGGGGAGCCAACGCGGCCGCCGCGTGCCGCTGCGCCTCCGGCGGATGCTGGGACCATCCCTGCCTGTTCCCCAATCAGTGCTTGCACTGAAGGGGTCCTAGCGGAAATTCCCCAATCAGTGCTTGCACTGACGGGGTCCTAGCGGAACTGGCGAACATTTCCCGCCGATGTTGGTGGCCGGCTGGGTTCCCGAGTTCCTGGTTCCGGGTTCAGGGTTCCTGGTTATCTAGGGCTCCCAACTTCGCGCTTCGCGCTGCGCGAAGCGCGAAGCGCGAATAACTTCGCGCTCTCGCGCCGCCCTCCCAAAGGGAGAATAGGAGGACGAGGAGGAGGGGGAGAAGGAACGAGGACCGCGAAGCGCGAAGCGCGAATAACTTCGCGCCCTCGGGGGAGCCCTTGGGTTATTGGTTCCGGGCCGATTTCGGTGGGTTCCGGCTCCATGGGTTCCTGGTCGATCTCCTGTACCGGAAACCATCCACTGATTGAGGTTTTTCCCTGGTGTAATTTGTAGCACGGGATGCGACCCCTATCCCAGGCTTGGGGAGGTTTTCGAACGGACTCCGAATTTAGGGCCCAACCCTGGGGTACACGATGGGGGGGCGTCCATCCTCGATAGGGGTGCGTCCGAATACCCCCCTTGGGGTGTATCCCAGGGGTTCCCCCTTTCTCTGAGCGGCCAGACTTTTCGGGCGGATCACGGGGATTGGGTGAAAAAATCGTATGCGATTCTGGTCCGGCCCAAGCAGGCTGATTGACGTTCAACATTGACGGTCAGAGGTGCCTGGCAATCAAGATGGTCAAAACTGCGCTACGGCAGGTTCCTGTCGTGCCGACCCCAGCGTTGGTTTTTGACACCGCGTGGATCGTTCAACCTTGAACGATCGGCCGTCTCCGCAACGTCCGATCGTTCAACATCGACCGATTCTGGGTCGCCGGCGGCGTTCAACCTTGAACGCCCGCGCTGGGGTCGCCGCTGGTCGACAAGACGCAAACCTACCGTAGAGAAATGTACTGAAGCCCGAGCGTGCGCCAACGCAGAGTGGCTCTTTCCTTCCTCCCGGCGGGAACGGAGTCATCGCTGCTGGTTTGGTTCGGCTCATGAGCGGCGAGCGTATCTCCGTATCTGGGCCCTCGCGGTCCGTTTTTGAAGGGGCCCTGAGACACACAAACAAATAGACACAAATAACAGGATTCCCCATATTTACCGATATTCTCTAGGATTTTGTCTTCCCCCCCCACTTTTCATATTTTCCATATTCCCTGGGGAATCGACGATTCATTGTGTCTGTGTGCTTTTCCCTCCTGACAGGGGCCTGGCCCGCGAGGCCGTGGATTCAGACGTGTGTTCCCCCTCATCCAAAGTGGGGCTCCTGTTTGCTCAGTACACCCCGCGCAATCTCCTCCTCCCCCTCTTTTTCACGATCACCATCGCATTCACTCACTCACTCACCCACTCACTCTTATCACCATCATCATCGTCACCATCACACACAGTCAGACACTCACACACACACACTCATCATGGTCATACTCATGAACACCATCATCATTCACTAACTCACTCCTCGCTCCTCGCTCTTGGGCTCCTGAGGCGCGAATCTGAAAAAAAAATCCAGCAGGCACCGCAGTTTTGAGTGAGGAAATCGCAGCAAGGAGCCTCGTCTGTGAGTGAGTTGTGAGGAAATCCCATGCGGGAGCCTCCCCCCTATGGGGCCCGCAGAACACGTACCAATCTGAACGGGTCATCCTAAACCTGTAGCCGCCGTCATTTTTGGGCCCCTGATGCTTGAATCTGGAGGTAGTGTCAGTGGGAGCCTCGTCTGTACTTGAGTTATGAAGAAGTCACAAGCGGGAGCTGGGGACCGCAGCTCATGTCACCAATCCGAGCGGGTCATCAAACAAACTTGTAACTGTCATCGCTGCTGGGTCCCCAGGTAGGAGCCTCGTCAGTTAATGAATTGCAAGGAAATCTCTAGCGGGAGCCTCCTCCCTATGGGGCCCGCAACTCACGTTTTGAATGTGGGGGGGTCATCCAACAACCTGTAACGGTCGTCACTTGTGGGCTCCACGCGCACGAGTATGGAGGGAATGTCAGGCGGGAGCCTCGTGGGTGCGTGAATTGCAAGAGAGTCTCAGGCGGGAACCCCTCCACATGGGGCTCGAAAAACCGAAAGGGGCATCCAACAACTTATAACTGCCTACGTGGCACCCCGCAATTGCGGATAAGAGTGAGGGGGCGGGCGCGGGCGACGCGGGCGTCGATGCTGGGTGGGTCGCGGGCTCTCCACCTCCACCTGGAAGGAATTCAAAAACAGCCGGCCGCAGGCGCCGACAATTTTGATTTGTACACTAAACGCGGTTTGGGTCGCGGGTGGGTCGCAGGTTCTCCACCTGGAACGAATGCACAAGAAGCCCGCCGCAGGCGCCGACAATTTTGGGTGCGTCGCGAGGTGGGTCGCGGGTGGGTCGCGGGTGGGTCGCGGTGGGTCGCGGGTGGGTCTCGGGGCGGGTCGCGGGTGGGTCGCGGGTGGGTCGCGGGGTGGGTCGCGGGTGGGTCGCGGGTGGGTCTCGGGGTGGGTCGCCGGTGGGTCGATGATGCAAACGACACCCGCCGCAAGCGCCGAAGTTTTGGCTTGTTCAAACACGTAGTTTGGGTCGCGGGTGAGTCGCGGGCTCTCCACCTCCACCTGGAAGGAATTCAAAACCAGCCCGCCGCAGGCGCCGAACATTTTGATTTGTACACTAAACGCGGTTTGGGTCGCGGGTGGGTCGCAGGTTCTCCACCTGGAACGAATGCAAAAGAAACCCGCCGCAGGCGCCGAAAATTTTGGGTGGGTCGTCGCGGGTGGGTCGCGGGTGGGTCGCGGGGTGGGTCGCGGGTGGGTCGCGGGTGGGTCGGGTGGGTCGCGGGGTGGGTCGCGGGGTGGGTCGCGGGTGGGTCGCGGGTGGGTGGGTCGCGGGGTGGGTCGCGGGTGGGTCGCGGGTGGGTCGCGGGGTGGGTCGCGGGTGGGTCGCGGGTGGGTCGCGGGGTGGGTCGCGGGTGGGTCGCGGGTGGGTCTCGGGGTGGGTCGCCGGTGGGTCGATGATGCAAACGACACCCGCCGCAGGCGCCGAAGTTTTGGCTTGTTCAAACACGTAGTTTGGGTCGCGGGTGAGTCGCGGGCTCTCCACCTCCACCTGGAAGGAACTCAAAAACAGCCCGCCGCAGGCGCCGAACATTTTGATTTGTACACTGAACGCGGTTTGGGTCGCGGGTGGGTCGCAGGTTCTCCACCTGGAACGAATGCAAAAGAAACCCGCCGCAGGCGCCGAAAATTTTGGGTGGGTCGCGGGGTGGGTCGCGGGTGGGTCGCGGGTGGATCGCGGTGGGTCGCGGGTGGGTCGCGGGTGGGTCGCGGGTGGGTCGCGGGGTGGGTCGCGGGTGGGTCGCGGGTGGGTCGCGGGTGGGTCGCGGGTGGGGTCGCGGGTGGGTCGCGGGGTTTGTCGCGGGTGGGTCGCGGGTGGGCCTCGGGGTGGGTCGCGGGTGGGTCGTGGGCGGGACGACGACAACAACAAATAACAAACACCAAACAACAAACACCAAACACCAAACGCCAAACAACAAACAACAAACAACAACAAACAAACAACACACAACACAGAACACACAACACACAACGAACAACAAACACCAACAAACAACCAACAACAACAACAACAACAACAATCCGCACCGCGGAATTCCACTTCATCCACGCACCCAGGGACAGTAAATGACCGTTCGGTTCAGCCCCCTAACCCTGACATCTTTGAGTTCCTCTGGCCTGAAAATGGAGGGGATGTCATGCGGGCGCCTCGTCTGTGAGTGAACTCCGAGGAGGTCTCAGGCGGGAACTATGATGCCCGTGGCCCATGTTAGTAATGAGCGGGTCATCCAAACAAACTTGTAACAATCGTGACG